TGCAAGTATAAATAAAAATCCAGACAGCTGTGAGGAAAGAAGAAATATTTATTCCTAAAAACAAGGGCAGCTGCAGAGAAACGGGGTACAGTGACACAGTTATAGAGGGGACCTTGTTCAGGGTGTGGAAGTGTATATGTGCTGATTCTAGGGTGACACTTGAGGGGCATGTGTATGTGTAGGTATGTCTATGATGATTATTCTTGTGACCATGCAGTTCCGCTGGGAGACCTAATTTAATTAACTCTATTTGTGTTTGCAGACCTTATCCTTTGATATGTGGATTAGGTCTGGGTAACATATTTGGAAGTTTGAGGAACTTTGGGTTTTTCTAAAAGGGATAAACGATAAAAATGAAGTAATTAAATCAAAGTCGAAGTGACAGTTAATAGATCACCCCTACGACTAAGAGTCTGGTAACACCTTAGACAATTACAAAATTCCCTTCTACCTTTATATAAAACTATATTTTGAAGAGTGTCGAAGGAGGAAGGTTAGAAGTAAAATAGGTTGGATATTACAGGAATTTAAGCAGCTGCATCATATTTTCCTCACCTCCAACCACCAGAATTATAAATATTCCATAGTTTTGATGGTTAGTGTTTGCCAAGACATCTCAGTTATAATGTAAGCACTTTGATCTGCACTGAATGCTCATGTTTAAAACTAGCTAAAAAAATATTTCATGTTGTTTAAGGCAGAATCAACTGAAATGCTGTGAATCTCAAAATAATTAGTAAAGTACTCATCAGTGAGAAAGACACATTCAATTTTTTCAAAAGAATAATAAACAGGAATTTCAGTAAGAGACATAGCTGGCATAGAGACTGAAGAAGAATGAACCCCCTCTACAATGCAACATCTGGTTTAAGGTCCCCTTACAAATAAAAAACATAATAAATAAAATACATATATATCAGACTATATATAAAGACAAAATAGTTTTACTCAACTCAATTGTCATGTAGATTGAGTAGAGGTTTATCCAGGTCCTCAGGGACAAATAGTCCTCAGTTTACAACTACAATTGAACCCAAAATTTATGTTGCTAAGTGAGAAATTTATTAAGTGAGTTTTGCCCTGATTTATGACTTTTCTCATCACATTTGTTAAGTGAATCATTGCGATTCTTAAATTAATAACACGGTTATTAAGTGAATCTGATTTCCTCATTGACTTTGCTTGTTGGAACGTTACAAAACGGGATCACATGACTCCCGGACACTGACTCAATAAATGTGAGTCAGTTATCAAGCATTCAAATGTAAGTCACATGACCATGGGAATACTGCAACAATCATAAGTATGAAAAATCATCATACGTTTTTAGTGCCGTTAGAACAGTCACTAAATGAACTGTTGTAAGTCGAGGACTACCTGAACAGCAATTAGATTTCATTTGTAGGAACAAGTAACACTGAAATTATGCAATTCAAGAGAAGTAGAAAGTTGACCTACTCAGGACAATCAAATCCAAGAGTAGAATTCCTGTTTTTTTTTATTGTATAGTTATTTTCCTAGCTTATTTCCCATAAACAGAGCTAGTCTAGAAGACTAGCTTTGTAAATTAAATACTTTCTAAATTAAATACTAGTCTAGAAGACTAGCTAGTATTTAATTTAGAAAGGAGATGAATGAGGGGGACTTGACTCAAGTGTACAAAATTGTGCATAGTGTAGGTCAAGTGGACAAGGAGAATCTATTTTTCTTTTCCCAGAATACTAGAACCAGAGATCAAATAATGAAATTGAATACTGGAAGAATCAGGACAGACAAAAGGATTTTTTTTTTTACACAACCTGTAGCTAAGCTTTGGAATTTGCTTCCATGAGATGCTTAGCCTTGATGGAACTGTGATTGCCTCTGGAGCCCTTCTGCTTGGAGATTGGTAGACTTTCTTGTGCAGTTGGTTGGACCACTGTGAGAATAGACTGCTGAAATGAGCCAGGGGTCTGATTCAGCAGGGCACTACTTAGGTTCTTAATGAAGAACTTAACAAATAAAATAAGGTCATAATGAATAGCAGGATATAATTGCAATCAGAATGAAGATCTTAATTAAGTTAGTAAGGATGATATTGCACAGCTATAACTATACTCACTTGTGCTTAGCAAATCAAGAAAAGTGAAGAAATAAAATATTTCCAAAGAACAGGATACCACTTCTTGCAAATTGATTACTTTGAAAGACTTAATACTTTTTATTTAGACCCATAAAGCAGTTTGAGCTTGGAATAAGTACCTTGCTCTGTGGAAATTCTTAATAGATAGCATTTTTTCAATTCCAGTTTTAGCCTGGCATCTCCCATCTCATCCAGCTCTATTATTGAGCTGAGCTCAGTCACTTCTGCCCATTTTCCCTGTTGACATGGATAGAAAATTGAGCAATTACCCTTAAACGCTTTTCTTTTAGATCACCCAGATTGCTACATACACAATATTAAGTCCTCAGTTGCCCCTGGCCAAAAGTGGTTCAACCAGGTCTGTCTTTTAGGAATTAAACAATTTTTGTTGCTTGCAAGAGTTTATTATTCCTAGGGTTGTCATCTACTAAATCCTATTAAAATAGCTTCCCATGGTGCAAGCTAGTCTTTCTCTAAATCTAAAAACAAGATAAAAACAAGACAGAGATAATTTAAGTCATTCCATTAATCATGCAATGTGCATTGGTTATGTATATACATATATATACCACAAAACATAATACATTGATTAAACTGTACTATTTCATCTATACAAACTTTGCTAATGAATCCTATATCTAAAACAGAATTTGAATTCAGAAAATTTGTTGGGATTTTTTACAAAAAGTGTAGTTTCTAATTTTTATAACTGTATTATAGAGCTGAATGAAAAAACGCAATAGCAATGTCTACAAACAAATGAAATGTCAGTTATAATATAGATGCCCAACAATGGGGTTAGCTAGTGCCATTGTTCTTTGTTTAAATATTTTCAAAAAGATACAAATATATTGAAAAGATGCATTAAAAAGCATACATGCAGTACATACAAATTTGAGATAAATAGTATTATGAAGGGGGTAAGAAAGAGTAAGCAATTTTTTTAAAGGAAAGCATAAGAACATGGAATATAGCTAAATATAATTTATACCAATATCATTCATCTTTCTAACTCATTTGATTTTATCAGGTCTATATATTACCTCCTACATTGACTTTTCTTCTTTACAGCTCACCTCTATGACCATTTAACTACAATTTTTTGATCCTCCTTCCATTTCACCCATTCATCACCCTTCATATTTGTTTGCGATTCATCTATTCTGTCTTTTATTATCAAACTACTTCAATATAACTATTTCATATTAATTACTCATTTTGTATTCCCACTAATCCAGTTCCCATTATTTTTTTGATTTTATAGTTTATTTTACCACACACAATTCCCATTATACTTACTTTTATGTTTGTCTTAATATACCAAAGTTTTACTTCCATGTAAAAGAAAAATAGGCATGGGGCCAGGTTCTCTGCAGGACCAACTTTCCTTAGGGACCTTAGGGACCTGTCCTAACATGATCAGATAGGATGGGCATGCTCCTAGTCCCTTCCCTAAACATTGTCATCTTATGGAATGTAGGAAACATGCCTTTTCCATGATAGCCCTTGCCCTATAAAAATCTTTTCTCTTGAAGTTTGTAGGCCTCTAGCCATCTAGCTTTCTGAAAAACACTAAAGACCTGGCTTTTCCCCAATGCGCTGAGATAAGATGGGGTGGATGAGATATTCTAATGAAGGACTACATGTTAATTTTGGTGGCAGGTTCTTAATGTTTAATTAAATATTAAACATTTAATAGATATATGTACCATGTTGGTTTATTACTGATTTTTTTAAAAAAATATTGATTGATAGCTGCCCAGAATTCAATATAAGATGGGTGGCTATATAAATCTTTAAAATAAATAAATAAAAGTGCAGAAAGATCAGCCATTTTTGTTCTTTCAACAAATTCATTCTTCACCATAGACCCCACATTTTTATCACCATTTGAATGTCTTAAAAAGTTTTAAGAGCATTCTACCAAGATACACAAATCCAATTAGTTGCTCTAATTTTTCATTAAACTGTATTTTATACTTTATATTTGGGGAAGCAGAGTAGAAGAATTTATTAAAGTGCTTGCCTTAAAAACATACATTAAATAAAAATTGAAATAAAAATTGAAGTAAAGATAAGGATAGAAAAAGCTTGAACAGCATTCTTCAAAATGAAAAAGGTCTTCTGCAGTCACGACATAAGCCTAAGATTGAAAATCAGGCTTGTCAGATGCTATGTTTTTTCTATCCTGCTCTATGGAGTAGAGAGATGGTCTCTGACAGAAGGCCACCTGAAGAGACTAGAAGCATTTGAAATGTGGATTTACAGGCGGCTGTTACGTATAAGCTGGGTTGACAAGATCAGAAATGAGGAGGTGATAAGACGCCTGGGAAAGCCAAGGGAAATCATCAAAATAATTAAAAAACGAAAATTAGAATATTTCGGACATGTGATGCGACACCCAGAAAAATACGGCATATTCCATTTAATCCTCCAGGGAAAGATTGAAGGCAAAAGAGGTCGAGGCAGAAGAAGAACATCGTGGCTTCAAAATCTAAGGGACTGGTTTGGACAAAACTCAGCAGCACTTTTTCGTGCGGCTGCTAATAAAAACAGGATCGCCAACATGATCGCCAACGTCCGATAATGGATATGGCACAAGAAGAAGAAGAATAAAAATTGGATATAAAATTTTGTATATTTTAAAAAGTTGTAAATTAATAATAAATATTAATATTCTAATGATTTTTGATATCAAAAACAAAAACAAATAGAACAAAATGCATGATAATATACAAATAATGATTTTACATTAGAAAGATATCCTGAATATCTTTGCTACCTTCCAGCCAGAGAAAAGTTGAATTCATATATTGTAATGAAGTCATCAGAAACATAAGAGTACCTTAATTTTAATTAAAAGGGAAAAAATTTGTACCTTCTCCATTATCTGCCTTTGTGCTTTCTTGTCTTAGACGATGACTGGAAAATATTGCAAAGTGAAGTCACCATTAGAGAAAAGTGTATAAAACAGTATCTTAAGTTTTCCTCTGAAGAACCCAATATAGCATTTTTTTTTGGCTCTAAAAAGAATTATAAACCTACAAATTATTAGAAATGAGAGTGAATCTTTGCATATCTTTTCGCATGTATATCAATCTTGGTGTTTCACAATTACATTGACTCCAGTAAAGACCATATCTGAAGACTGAGTCAAAAGTAATGTCTCTAACTCCATAATTTTAGCTTAAACAGGGATATTTTAATAACAAGGAACAAGAAAAAATATCCTTGAAATCAGCTCCAGACTTCAAGGATTCAACAAGCCTCTTTTGTAGATTTGGTAAGAAAACATTTTCCAAGTCATTCTCTTGATTTGTCATTTGTATTTCCCTCATAATTTTTAAAACATCAGCCATTTTCTTTAATATATCCAATAATCCAATAATAATGGACAATAAAAAATTGTCATTTTCTAAATCATTCTCTTGGTTTATTGTTTGTAGTTCCACTTACATTACTTTCTCTGTTGTGTCAGACAAAATTCATATCTATCATTCCCTCAACATATTTTAGACATAATTTATCTATACAATCAGACATCTTTACTCACACTGTTGATATTGTAGCTACTAATTTCTAACTCAATTCTTCAAAGTTCTCCTGTAATATTTCCAATGTCATGATGTTTTATGTCATTTTATAAATCCCAGTTAACCAGTACCAAAAGCAGGCTTGTATTTTTCAAAACTATTTAGAATCTTTAGTCCCCTCTAGCTTCCAGTTTCTAAAATCATAAAGTCATTTATTTTTTTGTTATGAACAAGGATAGCCAAAATAATTCTGTTTACATGAGAAGCTATTTATTTTTTGTACCGTAATTAATTCTAAAATCTTATAGTAAATGTCAATATTCCAAATTTAACTTGACCTTTAATCCATTTCTTAGATCAAAATCATATTTAGCTTTTTGCTGTTTATTTCAAATTCTTTAATTTTTAAGCTTGTAATTAATTTCAAAGTTGCAGCTAAACTCATGCAGCAACTTTTCAAATTTGTTGTTCCAAAGGTCTCTAATAGCTTTAAAATGGTTAATAGGCAATTTCTGAAAGTGATTAAAGAATCTTGCAAAACTAGTGTCTTTTAAAAGATTCTGCTTGTCAGGCACAAAGGATCAGATCCATACATGAAGATCCAATTAAACTGATTTATTGCTATTCATGCCTATGCCCAGGAATATTCTCAACTCATGATTAGTATCTACTAGGAGTCAACAGAATTCAAGGGGGGTTGGGCTTACTGTACTCTGCTTATGGTTACATAGTCATTCTAGCCTGATTCCTGTTTTAACTCTTCCCCCAGGTTCTGCTACTCCTTCCCCTACACTGCTGCAGTTGCAAGCAAGATGGCTAATCCCTTTGTCTCCCACTGCTCAAACTCACAGAATACTGTCCTGCAGTCTCCATAAGGAGCAGACATCCAGAGTATATATGGGTGATCTACCATCCTCTTGTTATCTAGAGAGGTTCCAAAAAACTGGTCTATTCATTGGTTCTTTGATGTTTGCTGTGGTGACTGTGCCCTGGCTACAATTTGCTATGCCTTCCCCAAAAGTTCAGTTCATCAAATCTTTTCATGTGAAACTTGACAGTTGCTGCCATGGGTCATGCACTTCATTCTTAATCACACACAGAAATTAGTTCACCATCACCTTCTTTGGCACAGTGATGCAAAGTATTTGCTTCATACAGTGACTATTCTGGATTGTAAGCAGTTGCTCTGGCCATAATCCAGATTGGACCAGCACAGTCACATTGCCATAAACAACTGTATTTAGCAGTCCTGAACAGCCATAAGTTCAGTGACGGTCTGCTGCTTAAAGTGTACTGACAAGTACTCACTACAGGTTGATATTTCACAAATAATAGCATCACAACTTTTTCTTATAGCAAATTCTCACCACTTGAAGTGAAAGAACAGATGCTAAACTACAGTACACTTCAAAACTTATAGTACATCAGTACTGCCATCTGTTGGAGATTTAATATTGGCAGTGCTACTTTTCTTTCATCCAGAGTCATGGGCAGCCATATAAATTTAATGAACAGATAGACAAACCATTGTAAAAATCCAAGCATCAGGAATGAAAGCAGCTTTTTAAAAGAGTGGCTTCCAAATGTCCAATTGTTATTTTAAATTATTTATAATACTTCAGATTTTAAGTTGAAGTTCTTTGGGGATCATAAGACTTCAGTCTAATCTATTCCCCTTTGGCATTTAAGAAAATAGTTCATAAGATTGTGCAGCAATCTAGTTTCTAAGAAGAAAAGATTTGTAGCATGTATAGGTACAGATATTGCACATATTGCCAACTTGTGCCTTTTCCCAGGGTCATATACTGTATGAACTCAGGCAGTTACTTTCGATAAAAGGATGAATATGCAAGTGCACCCATATGTGCTATGAATTGCCTTTTCCCCTTCAAATCTAGATCACTACATAGTTCTAATAGCTTATATCTATTTCAATACACATGACAAAAATCTACAAAAATATATACAGGGACAATAGCCACAAACATAAAATGATGAAAATGAAAGTTTTTCTTAACACTTATGTGGAAATATGCTAGACAATGAGGGAGTCACTTACTCTTCAACTTCTTGTTCTGCAGGTTTCTTTTTTGACCTAAAAGACAACAAAAGCCTACATTGAACAATGGAAAAACAAAGCTCATAATAACTCTTCAAAGTGTTATTTCATGAGAGGTACATTAATCTTTTCTCCAAATTATTCGCATTTGAAATAAAAAGATCATCTTTGATTTATTGAGGATAGAGCAAAGAAGTCAGATTAGTTCTTTTTTCTTTCAGCTTCTTTTTGAGCATTGAACTAGTCACTCTATCTCACAGCGCTGCCATTGTGGGGGAACACTGAACACAGTCTTAAGCTCATGAACAAAAAGCAGGATATAAATGTAACAAAGAAACAAGTAAAATGATAAAAGCCACATATCATCCTAGTGCTGAGGAAGGCAACAGTTTGATAAACCTAAATTGCTGGTTTTAATTATGAGATCCTAGATTGTTTGGCTGAATGGAAACTTGCAAATAGGATGTGATCAGCGTGGCATGTGGTGCCTTGGTCTCTAATGATTCCCACAACGGTTCTCCTAACTTTCGTCCTGCAGCAGCAGCAACAACAAACAACAACAACAACAACAACAACAACAACAACAACAATAATAATAATAATAATAATAATAAAGTTGGAAGGGACCTTGGAGGTCATCTAGCCCAACTCCCTGCTCAGGCAGGAAACCCTATACCATTTCAGACAAATGGCTGTCCAGTCTCTTCTTAAAAACTTCCAGTGTTGGAGCATTCACCGCTTCTGGAGGCAGATTGTTCCACTGGTTAATTGTTTTAACTGTCAGGAAGTTTCTCCTTAGTTCTACCGTAGGTTGCTTCTCTCCTTGATTAGTTTCCATCCGTTGCTTCTTGTCCTGCCTTCAGGCGCTTTGGAAAATAGCTTGACTCCCTCTTCTTTGTGGCAGCCCCTGAGATACTGGAACACTGCTATCATGTCCCCCCTCGTTCTTCTGCCTGTACTTTCTCTTTAATGCCTGGGGATTCAGTTTGCTGCTACCAATCACTTTACCCCAGAGGAATCCTCTTTATCACTGATTCATCAGAAGTGGAATAATTGAGAAATTCCCTTCCTTCATATCTCTAAAAGCTAGATACTTTTACTAGACTGTGCACCAATGGCTCATTGAGAATTTTAAAACTTTATTGTATTTAATAATCTCAAAGATTCAGACAGATCTGAGGAAAAAAAGGAAAGGAAGAGGAAAGGAAGGAAGAACAAATAATTGCTTTATGGAGAACCTGATCCCTGTCAGTTGTTCCTTCCAGCCCAGGATCTTATAGAAGAGCATATATCCAAAACACAGCCTGGACAAGAGTCCACAAATTAAATTGAAACACAAACTCTAGTGCCACGAGCTTTACTGATGTGAGCTGGCTGTCCAACTCACTACATTTCATTTAGCTCGATGTTGAGTATGGCTTTGTTCTTGGCCGCTCCTATTTGGGGTTAAGTATTATCCATGAGCTGGTGAAACCCAACTTTATTCCTTGACTCCAGTCCAAAAAGAAGATATTAAGAAAGCCCTGACCCAGTAATTGCAAGCTAATTAGATGGAGTGAACTTTTAAAAAAGTACCCTGATTGTATCATCACTGTCTATTTTATTCTATGTCACTAAACATTAAAAAGCAAACAGAATTCAGTCTTCAAGAGGATATTTATACTTATCTCAAACCAGCTACAGCTTTATTTATTTTACTCTTTTTTACAGAGTGAGATGGACAGCACAGAAATTTAATAAATAATAAATAAATATAATTTTTAATATTTATTGCTATTTGATTCTATAACTGATTTTTATCATCTTATTGGTGTTTTGTTTCCTAAGTTGCAAGTCATTCATAATGAAAAGATTAGGAGCAGATACATTTGAATAAATAATTAAATATAAATAAATTAAATGTCAAACACAAAACACCCTCAACGTTTGTTTTTCTTTCTTCTCAACTCATTTGTATTGATATGTCAGCAACTTTTCTTTAACTCTGTTAGTGTCAAATCTCTTGGAATGGAATTTCCTCACATTCGTTACAAGAATCTGCATTCATATGATCTGCAGTTATACACAGCTTTATGGAAGAGAGGAAAAAATTCTCATAGCTCATTTTATACAAGAACCAAGTGAAGAGACACAAATTATTCACAATATCACTATTACTACACTTTTGTAATATCTGAAATTGCGCTTAGGGTTGAGCTGAATACATTGAATCATGAGACAAAAATAGGTCCTGGGGAGATATTTTTTTAACACTATTACCTGAAAAGCAGCCTCTGAATATTTGTTCAAAATTAAAGCAATGTAAGAATAAAGCTTTTTTAACTCTCAGAATTAAAACCCTACCTTTGCCCTGCTACTTTTAACATAAACCATTATAATTAAACCCAGCTATCTCTTATAATCCTGGAAGTTCTTATTTTAGATGCCCTACAGATCAGGCACAATCTGGTTGCATTACTATTAGTTTTTAATAATATTTAAAAATTACTAAATGAATATTAAATACATTTTATTATTATTTAATAATATTGTGATGTTGGAGGAAAAAGACAGGGCAGAAGAAGATAGCAAACAACTCACTTGTTCTTCACCCACCCCAGCAAGCTCAGAACTAATTCAGATCCGATTAGGAGTGCTTGTTCAATATTCAAAATGTAGAACATAGAGGTTGCTGAACCAGCACTTTGAAAAGTTAATTAAATGTCAGGTTTCTTTTTAACAGATACTCCATCACTTGCTGATTGCTTTGACTGTTTCACAAGATGAAGTTTTTTAACTCTGCACATTGGGAAATACTCTTTTTTCCACTCCCTAGAGCAAAGAGCACAGCATGACAAGGTACATAATAAGGCTGTACTCTACCACCACATGTTCTGCTTTTACAAAGAAGCTATCACTGAAAATTCCAGAAATAATGTCTATTTCTTTAAGACTGTAGAAATTGTCTCACTCTCATTTATAAAAAAGCAGCCTTCATTTTCAGTTATACAAACAGTGCAAACTTTTCATATTTTGGTTCAAATCATTTGGTACTAGACCAGCGGTTCTCAACCTATGGGTCGCGACCCCATTTGGGGTCGATCAACCATTTCACGGGGGTCGCCAAGCAAGGCTGTCCGCCATTTTTCCCCTTTTCCGGCGGGTGCCTTACCTCCCTTGAGCTGGGCCAGCTGGTGGTCGGCCTGCTCCGTCTCTGCCGCTTGCCAGCTACGCCTCGGCTGGTGCAGGGGGCGGAACCACACATGTGCGACGCTCCCGGGCAGGGAAAGTCCTCGACTTACGACCGGTTTAGTCCTCGACTTACGACCGGTTGGGGGGTCGCGGCATTAAAAAGGTTGAGAACCACTGTACTAGACTAAGAGACATTTCAGTTTTGTATACTGGAAGAATGTTATTATGCCATGATTCTTACTAGGGGAGCTGGCGCTACATTGCTACATTATGTGCTGTTGATGTAAGAAGACCCAAATACACCCAGCCAGGAGTCTTAAGAAAAGTCAGATGACAGTGATTACAAAAAAGAAGAGAGTGATAAAAATGATAGGATAAAACTAGCAGCGATATGTCAAGAAGTAGTAATGAAGAAACTGCAAGCAAGCCTTCTTCGAGGTTTGATTTAACAAATGGTAAATACCGATGCTTAGCCAAGTCCTATAAATTGTTCATTTCTATTTCAAAAAGAGTGGAGGGAGGGAAGCTAATGCTATGTAATAATTAAGGCATTATGCCAGGAGCAGAGAGAAATTTCCTGGGCAACTTAGGGTCAGTCACTCTCTTTCAATCCAGTCAATCTCACAGGTTGTCTGTTGTAGGGAAAATTAGGAGGGAACACTACATACATTGGCTTGAACTCCTGTACAAATAGGTCCGATATAAATCTAATAAAAGAGAAAATAATTTAAAATGTTAACATTCAAATATATATTTAAACCTTAAGTTTTGTAGTAGGTTCTAGTTACAGTGGTGCCGCTATACTTGAATGCTTCAAAATTTATCGAATTTGGTACTCAACACGTTTTGAAGCAAAAATCTTGTCTCGGAACTCATTTTTCTCCCAGTACTCAACATGCAAGGTAGAACTTGCTGGCATCAGCTGCCTCGTGACTCATTACTCCTTTGGGCTGAAATAAAGGGTCACCTGGTAACTCACATGCAATGTGACTACAGGATGGCTGAACCATTGTAAATGTGAGCCAGTTAACAAGCTCCCAAATTGCAATTGTATGACCACGGAGATGTAAGACTGTTGCAACTTTGCAGACAGGTCATAAATCACATTTATCAGCACCATTACAACTCTGAACCATCATTAAACAAATGGCTATAAGTTGAGGACTACCTTTATAGTATCAAGAACGTGTGAATTTGCTACATGAAATAAAACTATCACAGAAAGTATACCTCACCTCAAATGCAGTATCTTTTACTATAGAAATCAAACAAACAAATATAAACAATTTATACAATCATCCGTGAGTCACTTTGGCAAAGACAGTGATTCTCACATGCACACATGTATAAGAATGCATAAAGGAAAGAGAAAAAAGTAGAAGGTACAAAAAGTTTGAAATGAGTCCTTTACAAAGCATATTAGCGTGAATAAAGGCCTCTTGCCTGAAATTTTAACTAGACACAACCTTTTAGAAAACTTGTGTGATTATCTGAAGCCTGTCCCCAGATGTTCAGTACTTCTTGCAGATCAGCTAAAACTGTGAAACATAACAACTGAGCATAGACACACAAACAACTAAGGATATCCCTCAAAACCCCTTTGCAAACCTCCCCCAAAATACAGTTGTTTGCTTGAGGGACAGCTCTGCTGTCACATACATACTTGTGAATAATTTACACAACTATGATTCAAAAACTATCAAATCTAATTGTGGCGTACTCTTATTTTAATGTAAATTTACAATGTAAATGTAAATTTCTTCCCTCACATGTTTACAAGTGGTATCTGTTCTGATGGCAGACAGACATCAGAACAACTCTAAAGCTGCTGAGACTAGAGTTGACTCCCAGAGATTCAGAAAACT